GCTGCAGACTGTCTATCTGCAAAATATGCGAAGGCCACATAACCTAATGCTTTCATACCAAGGTGGAAGCCGCCTTATTATGAATCTGTATTTGGCTGGTCTGCTTCTTGATTATTTTAGACTTGGTCAAAAATTGACATGTGACTACATCCAACTTTGCCAATGACCGCCACTCTTCACACTTGTCTCTCTCAACAGATGCTCTGACCTTGGAGACCTCATGCCCAAATAACTGTCCTGTGCACGGCTGGGATCGGCCTTGGGGACAGAGCTCTGGCAGCCGCACGTTTGAAAGCTGCGATCTGGGACGCGCATTCACTTCAGATGTGACATCAGTGGGGTGCAAGTAAGACAGCAGAATAACCTCTTTGGGGTGAAGGGTGGAAGAGTCCACAGCAGGTTCCAAGGGAAAGCTCTGTCCCCAGCACAAGCTGAGTTCACAGCAGGGAGTCTCTCATAGGAAACACTAGGCACTCAGCAGTCAGCTAATAGTGTTATGGGGTAACGTTTTGCTTCTATTCACAAACATAACATTGAAACTTTTTACTGAAACTGTTGGTATGACTACCAGCCAAATACAGTGATGGTGTTCCACTTCATGCTGGAGAACTGAGGCATGATGTGGGCGTTCTTGTGTCTATTTTCAGTATTTAACTCACAACCGACACTCCCATTTAGAAGCCAAAATCCTATTGGCTTGGAGGAATCACATCTTTTTGCAGAGTTTAGAGCCAGGAGGTCTGAGGTCTTTGCTTATCAAGCTGCCTCCTGAGCTCTTTAAAACAGAGATTGAACTGCCTGAGATGATGAAAGCTAGCTAGCTATTGTCGATGAATATTTTCAAAGGATGTTCCTGAAGATGCAGAGGCAGGCGGTCTGCAGCAAAAGACTCAGCAGCTCTTGAAATTTTTGCCACTGGCTTTCTGCAGAGCTGTGCAGTGTGGAGGAGGCTGGGAGAAGGACTGGTGGTGGTTCTTGCTGTTCGGGGGAGGAGGGATAGTTGGTGGTGGTGAATTTGTCTTTCTCCGAGAGACCAGCTGTCTGACTATACAGATAGGGGTGACTGCAGTTGTTATGTGCTTAAGGAAAATGGGCACTATATCTTACTGTTGTATGGGCAATATGCAAATAAAATGTGTATTGCCAGGTGGAAAATATGCTCTGCTGGTAGCTATACTGATGCAGACCTTCCTGTTTCCATTACAATGGTGGACTCTTCACTGCTGGAGGTGAGTGCTGTCTCTGATCCCCAAGATGTGGTTTTGAATGGGTTCAAGCATTTAGTGCCTTACTCAGATCCAGGCAGAGCAGCTCTAAATCAGCACTGCTCCTAGGCAAAGGGAGCATCAGTCAGCAGGGTGCTGTGACATCTTGTTGTGTGGGGGGTAGTCCCTTCTCTCTGGGCATGCTTCTGGAATACTGTAGTTATAGACCTAAATGTCTTGATGTTCAAGTGCATCTGGGTCATGCTTTTAGCTGTATTTTAAACACGGTTTCAAGGCTTGAGACAGTGCTGTTTCTGCAGCAATACTCGGTTCTGCCAGGGAAGTCTGAGTGATTTCGCTCTCTTGATCCACCTGCAAGAAGCCACAGGATGTTTTAGCTGTGAATGCTGCCTTTCTCAGCACTTTCTCCCACAGCTCCCATGTAACAGCTGAAAAATGACACCTTTGTTGTGAGAAAACTTTCCTTCAGCTGATGTGCTCAGAAATGCCTTCACTGCTGTATTGAATCCTGCATCTACATCTTGAGCTGTCGGTCGGCTTTCTTGTGGCAACAGCAAGATGAGCTGCACCTCAGCACACCAAGTTGTGCTCGATGCCACAATACTCGCTGCTGAAATCTAGACCTCGGCCCTGCCATGCAGGGCTTCTAATTAGCTTGATAAACTCCAGTGTTGATGTTAGTGGTGACAATGGAAAAATATTGGTCAGTGGTTTCTGTGAACCTGGAATTAACTTTTGCAAGGCTGATGAGCAGGCAACCTCAGACCTACCCTAGCTGGTGTGTGGTACCTGCAAGTGCAGCAGTGGTCCAGTTGTAGAGGCAAATGAAGGTAGAAAACACAGTGAGGGTAAAAAGTAAGAGTGATGGGGACTGCCTGTAGTTTCAGCACGCTGCTTGGTTGGGCTAGAGCAGATGAGGAACTCCTAGCTTGTGCTGCTACTACTTCAGGTACCTTAAAGAGGATAATCTCAAGGGCTTTTGCTTTATCTGGTCCTTCTGGAAAGTCACAGCCTTGCAAAGTTGTCTGAAATGCCTGTGCTTCATTGCTCTGGAACTTTCTGTAATTCCAGCTGGGTTCAGAAATGTCATTTTCCGTCTTTGCTTTTTTTTTTTTTATATAAACTTTCCGTGTGAATATTCTAGAGGGAGAAAATTGAAATGTTAAAGCTTGCCCCAGAGAAAAGGCAAATGGGCTGTGTCCAGTATCTGTTCTAAAAACTGTGACGTGCAGCAAAATTTGAATATCCTTGTCTAATAGGAAAAGTCTTCCTAGTTTGTTGGGGTTTTTTTATTACACTGTGGCTGCAGATACATTTGAGCAGAGTGAGCCCTTCAGCATGTAAGTAACTCAGATTATTTTGTCAAAGCATTGTCATCATAGGATTTTAGGGGCTATTTAGTAAAGGAGCTCTTGTGAGAGCTAGACAAAGCTTGGGCTTTTTATAGTCATTTTGATTTATAAATGTGAAAGTCGTATTACAATCTAAAAACCAGATGATGGGCCTTTCAAATGTTAATGCTTATTTGGGAGGAGTTATACAAGACTCTGGCTGGAATTTGTCTGCTGTGATAGAGTATCCTTTGATTATTATGCTAACCAAAAGGATGGAAAGGAAAAAAGTGATTAGGATTCTACTGCAGGATCTTCTTTGACACAATCCTTTTATTAGGGAGAACAACCATCCTCGAAAGTCCTGTGCGAACAGGTTTTATTAGGAAATCTAGAATGTGGTGGTGGTGTTTTTAAGTGTACGCTGTGCAATCCGTGGGAGCTCACAATCCTAATAGTCAGTATGGGGTTTTAAAAACTGAACTGAGGATTTTCCTTCATTTCAAACAAACCACTGACTGAGATTACCTGGGGATGGAGAGGGCATGTAGAATAATGATTTGCTTTAGTCAGTTCCAGGTGATGCAAGCTTGTTTGTTTGTTTGCATGGGGTGGCGTGCGCGTGTGTGTGCACGCGCGCTAAAAGCACTTTAGTTTTCTCTTGTTTTCATTCCAGCATGCTATTCATTTTTTTTCACCTTCTTCCCCAGTACTCCTGTAGACCCAATGGCCTGAACAAGGCAAATGCACTGCTGTACTTCCTTAAGCTTAATAGAGAATTCAAATTAGAATAAAAATAGCCTGGATTTGCATTAGAGGAAACATCCGGCTGGCTGGGGCAAGGCTCTGCGAGTGCGGTCAGGCTCTGATGGGTGGGGGAGCAGGGAGGAGAGAGAAGGCACTTGGTGATGCTGGGAGCAGTCAGCCGCTCTCAGGAGCGACCGAAGCCTTGGTCGCCCCCTTTTCAACTTTGTTGGGTTTACTGGATCCTCTGAAGATGTTTGAGGGGGAAGGGAAGATACCAGAACATAGATGATCACTAACTGACATGGTTTCTCTGTTGTTTCCCCCCACATTCCCCAACTTCAATAGTGCTCTTGAACACTTGATGTGTAGGGAGTTACCCAAAGCTGGCCAGCCTCATACCTGCTGTGCTTGGAGATAGGTTTGGGGCCTTTTTTTTTTTTTATTCAGCACCCCTCTTCAGCAGTGGGTGGAGTTTATCACAAGTCAATACCAACTTAACCCTTCAAACCTCTGTTTCGCCCTGTACTTTCACCCTTGAAGAGAGACCAATCTACCAATTGAATAAGCAAGCTGGAGTTCTCCAGGGTGAAATGAGGATGAGATCTTTCCTATTCCGAATCCCCTTGCCACATTAAAAGACTTAAGAGGATGTTGGTTTTGTCTGTGATAACACTTGGGTCCAGAACTGCACTGTAGTAGCTAAAGGAACATGAGCAAAGCTACGTACCAGCCTTTAGCTGCTGAATTCCTCTCTGCTGTTTGCACACAGAGGAGGAGGTCTGAAGCAGTCTGAACTGCTAGGTAATTGTTATATATAATACTGAAAACTAGTGTCATTCAAAGACACACGCTAAAATATACCACGCAAATGCAAGTTTTCTTTGTTCCAAATCATCTGCTCGACCAAGCAGATAATAGTTACCTTTTTTTACCTAAATGAGCCTGACAGCTGTAGCAGAGTGAAGCACTGTGTGCCTCGCTCATGGGGTTTGAGGTCAAGACCTTGAAAATGGACCTATCTTGATGCACAGCATTAAGATAGAACAGTGGTGTGGTAACACATACGTCGGTCATTTGAAAATGTGCGTTGGGAGCAAAACATGAAATCAGGAACCAAAATACATATCTTGGTATGATATTCCTGAGATAACATTTCTGTAGATACGTAGTTATAGCTCCTAATAATGCTAACATACTAAGCTACGTACTGTATGTATGGGTGGCTTTAGACTAGCAGATGAATCTGCCTACACTTCTTGTCTAGTTCTTCACTGCTGAAATAATTGAGGCACAGCTGGGGAAAATATTAAAACTTTGACATACAGATTTTCTGTTCGCACAGCAACCCTTTCCCTAATACTAACTCCTCTCTTTCTTTAAAGATTGATTGTGCAGAGCCTTCGTGTCTGATCCCATCCAGGTCAGTTTTTGTGCAAGCTTTTAAAAGCCTGTACCAAAACTGTATAAGATATGGATGAGTATCTGAAAGAATTTTGCTTTGGCAGTGATCTCTTAACATCACCCCAAGAAGTTCTTGCATCCTCTCTGGAAAGCACTGTACCAGTAACAGGTAAGCCCTTAATTTGAGGCACAGATATGCAAACTTTTTGCACTGAAAGTCTTAGAAATAGATGCGCTCAAGTCTGCGCATTTACTGAATAGTAAAAGCTCTGTCTTTTGCTGCCTGATGTTATAGGCTGCCTTGTTATGGAGGAAAAATCACCCAAGTGCTCACGTGAAAAAGAGGAAGATGTGCCAACTTCTGTAGCAACGGAGAAAAACAACGATAAGGATCCGGCTGGTCCTGTGTCAGGTACAGTAACCGCTGCGGTACGCTGGCGCTCGCGCAGTGAGGAAACGGCTTGCTTCCAGCACATCTTTGAAGTGAGGAAGCTGAGTAAGAAAAATAACTTCATGATATCTTGTGATTTTTCTGTTGTTGAACATACTGTTGCCTGCGAGTACTCTCAACCCTCCCTGAAACTCTGAGTAGGAATAAGGCTTCACCCACTCGCAGGAGGCTGACAGCCTACAGCACTGCAAGAACTAAATGTGAAATGACCGAGTGAAATCTCAATGCTTGCTCAGCTGGCAAACCATTGTGTGGGCACTAAACCCCAGGCTACTCTGGGAGGAGAGATAATGTTTTCATGACTTGAGGAAGCTTAGGGACACAGCTAGGCTAAACAGCATTTTACTCTCTTTCCAAACTGATGCTCAGCGCACAAAAGCTGGGATGGGTCAAGAGGAGAGCTGAGGAGAGAGGCCTTTGTCTATGGTTCTGTCTTCTGCTATAGCCGTAAACACCCAGAAGAATTATTTTTACCACATCTACTGGTGCTTCTTTTGCTTAGAAACTAAAAGCAAAACCCACTGTGCCCATGTACTCCAGTTTTATTTAAGCTATTATTTAAAAAGCTGATCTGAATGAGCAGCACAGAATAGGCATGCATGCTTGTTTGTAACCGGTTTTTAACATTTACCTAAACACAAGACTCTTTGTCGTCATTTCCTGTTTGGTTTTATTTCTTTCTTTAGTACTATCTTCCTGAAATCTAATTTAGTCCCCTCACTGCAACCTATTTTCTTTCTACTAATTTGCCTCTACTGTTAATTTTCATATGTGGCCTTTGGCACGGAGGAAACAGATATGCAAAACAGGTCAGACAGAGTCCCGATAGCTTTAAAGTCTGCGAATCCTCTGCCTGCTGCACCTGTCTGAATAGAAAGTGTTTCTAGTATTAGAATGGAGACACTGAAGAATCTCCACTTGTGGTTTTTGCTAGTACCATGCAATGTCTTCTAAACGTCCTTGGAAGCCAGGTCAGATATGTAGGGCTGCTGCAAGAATCGACAGGAGCAGAAGGCAGTGCTAAGCAGAGGTTCGTGTGAAGGATGAAAAGAGCAAAGACTTCAGCCCTGGAGGTGGGGTATTTTCTCCTGTGCCATTTCTTTGGCTTGCATCTGTGTGGGTGTGTGTGACTACATAATCAGAAAAGGAAGAAGAAATTTCTAGATGTTCTAAAAGGTATAAATAGCTACCAGAGTTACTGCTACACAAGAAATTAGTGTGACTCTCAAACCTTCTTCAGTTTCTTAAATATTATCCTTTTTAAGTCTTGTTAATAGTTGTCTTCCTGGAGGTTATTTTTGCCTGCTTTAAAGCTGTTCTAAACTGTGGCACTTGAAGGTTTGTGTTGCGTTTTAATTGGCATCATCAGTTCCTGAACTTATCGCCACTCATCTTCTGG